GATCTTTAAATCATTAGCTCTCTAGCCACTAAAGAATGTGTCCAGACTACAAAGTGAGCTACCCTGACATAAATAATAACACCACTTTTAGAAGGTAATACAATACTGTAACACAGTTCCCACAGTCATCCAACATAATTCCCCATAAAAATGTCAGGAGACAATGTGAAACTGATAGGCAGGACAGTAAAAAACAGGCACATTATTACATGTGTGCTTTAGCATAGACACTGTCCAGATCCAAAAGTCTTGCTACATTCTCATGCATTGCTTCAGTAGGGATACTGCATCCACAGTATGAAAGATTGAACTGCTGTCTTGGTTTAAGCCTGGTGGGCAGCTAAGCACCACCCAGCTGCTCTTTCACTCCCCCACTGTGGGATGGTGGCAAGAATTGGAAGGATAGAAGTGCAAGAACCCATAGTTTGAGATAAAGACAGTTTAATAGGTAAAGCAAAAGCCATGGAATTCATTCATCATTGCCATGGGCAGGTAGGTTTTCAGCCATATCCAGGAAAACAGGGCTCCATGATGTGTAACAGTTACTTGGGAAGACAAATGCCATCACTCCCAGTGTCACCCTCTCCTCCTAATGTTCCTCCCTCCTCCTACTCCCCCAGCTTTTATCACTGGGTGCAACTTCATATGGTCTAGGATATCCCTTGGGTCAGCTGCTCCAGCTGTGTTCCCTCCCAACTTTTTGTGCTTCCCCAGCCTACTCACTGGTGGAACATTCTGAGAAACAAAAGGTTCTTGACACTGTGTAAGCACTGCCCAACAATAACCAAAACATACAAAACATAGCACTATATGAGCTACTACGAAGAAAATTAACTCCATACCAACCAAAACCGGTAGAGCCACATCAATAGTCTGAGACAACTGTCAAAAAGATAGATAAGGAAAGTAAATTTTATACAGGAGTAAAAAAATCAGTCAAGCTTAGTCAAAACATAGATCTTTCTGTCAAAAGGTTCAGAGCAGCAGCAAGATACTGCTCAGTTCAGCAGAGTTCACTTGTTCCTTCAGTGGTGAAGGCAGCTGACACAGCCCACTGCTCTTGAGAAAAGAATGCCTGAAACAGAGACCTGCCCATGAAAGCACCGCTCTAGTCATTAATTTTGGCTTGGTCTGATTTTTTACCTGGCACAACTGCACTAGATGTTCACTAGGTAAACATTTCTGTGCACACACTGAAAGGCTCCCCAAGTCTCCTTCAAAGCTAAAGAGATTTTGATAAAAAAGTAAAAGTTTTCCTGAGCTACTACAGGTTTTGTCACTTCCACAGCATTCACTGAGAGATAAGCCCATTTGTGGCTACTGAAGGATCTGCTTCAGTCCTCATCTCTCTCAGTCAGCAACCCACTAAGAGTGTGCTTTTCCATTATGCATTTAACAGAAAAATGTTTTTTTCTGTGGCATTATTTACACATCCCTAGAGAGCAACTGCCAAAACAAGGAGAGCACTATAATATATGTCTGAAGATGTAGTGGAAATTTTCACTGCTTTCAAAGATTTATAATAGCTCTATGCTGAATCTCTCCATAATGCCACAAAGTCTTGAACTGTTTCATATTAAATTCCAGATTGACTTTACACTGTTGATTTTTTTTTTTTAACCTACAAAATCTTAAATTCTGTGCCCATTTGGTGAAATACTGGACAGCACAAATAGGACAGATCCTAATGCAGAACTATTAAATGGATTGCCATATCCAAATGATTATGGCTTTCCAGCCATGGCCTTGGTCCCTGTAGAATATAGGCTTGTGCTGTCGCACCAGCATCCTCACAAGGTCACCACAGTGATGATGTCAGTGATAATCCCAACATAAAAAGGATGTGGACCTACTTAAGCAAGTCCAGAGGAGGGCCCCAAAGATGAACCAACATCTGGAGCACCTCTCCTATGAAGACAAGGTGAGAGAGTTAATCTTGTTCAGCCTAGAGAAAAGAGGGCTCAAGGGGAAGCCACAGCCTTGAACTACCTGAGTATTAGTACTGCAAATAAGATGGTATTTTTCCAGATAAATATTCCCTTATACTTGGATGAACATTAGCAGTAGTTTTGCATAACTGAAAATCTTAAATACTCATTGCTTCCCACAGACATAAGAGTTACTATGGATTTGAGTTAATCACATCCTACCAAATGATGTATTAAGCAAAAATAGGGGAGCAATGGTAGAAAGAAAAAAGAAAACCAAAAAACAGCCCCCAAGTCTTATTAAAGTTTGTATTTCAAGCACAAAGCATTTCTACAATCTAAAGATAGGCATTGCCATTAAATTTGTGTTGTTTAGGCTCCAGTGACGACAATACAGTTGCATTATTTTAGTCATGTTGCATATAACCATTTGTTGTGGTTTAAACTCAACCAGCCACGCGGTCTCGCACTCTCACTCCGTCCCCTTCCTCCCCCCACCCCATCTCCCAGAGGGATGGGGAGGAGAATCAAAAGAATGTAACTCCCATGGGTTGAGATAAGAACAGTCCAGTAACTAAGGTATAACACAAACCACTGCTGCTACCAATAATAATAATAATGATAAGGGAAATAACAAGGGAAGAGAATACAACCGCTCACCACCCACCGATCAATACCCAGCCCGACCTGAGCAGTGATCTAGCCCTTCCAGGTAACTCCCCCCAGTTTATATACTGGGCATGACATGCTGCGCTATGGAATACCTCTTTGGCTAGTTTGGGTCAGCTGTCCTGTCTCCGCTTTCTCCCAGCTTCCCCTCCTCCCTGGCAGAGCATGAGACTCAGAAAGTCCTTGATCAGAGTAAACATGACTTAGCAACAACTAAAAACATCAGTGTTATCAGTGTTGCTCCCAGGCTGAAAGTCAAAACCACAGCACTGCACCAGCTACTAAGAAGGAGAAAAATGACTGCTACTGATGAACTCAGGACACCATTATTTATTCATTATGGATCAAACATAATAAATAAAAAACACCCTCTGAAGTGTTTTGTTTGTATCTACGCCTTTCTCTAGAAAGCAGCCCAACAGAACTGTGGAAGAAGTGTTTTTTGTGCTTCTTGCAGGAAGAGAAGAAGGGAGAGGGAGGGAGAGACATCTAACATTTCATCCCAGCCACATGATTTACTAACATCCTACAGGCAGAGGTGATCACATTTAACCTAGCAATGATACCAAACATCACTGAAGAAATACAGCAATATAAAGCAGTAGCCAAAGGGTGGCTTTAGCTACCCTGAGTTACTGTCTTTCACCTGTGAGCTAAAGGTTAAAAAATAGGATCTCTGTCAACTATGACAAAGATTGACTTTGGTTTTCCTTTTCCTCACCCTCACCCTACTTTGCACATGTGAAGACTAGGAATGCAATCAGTTTTCCAAATCTCAAATACCATCACCAGGAGATATTTCCTCCTATCCAGCTAGGAAAACACACACATATCCTGCACAACTAGGTGAAAAGATTCCCCTGAAATATTTCTTTATTCTAACCAAAACCTTGCTTTTGTTTGTTTAGGAAATAATAGTAAATCAGGATGACCTGAAACTTTCATGACTTGCCCCATTTTCTCCAAGAGTTTACTCTTTTGTTGTTTATTTGCTTTTTGCCTGGTTGTTTTTTTGGGTTTTTTTCCCACTTTTGAGACACTGTCTCTTTCTATACTTCCAAGAGCTTACTGAAATACTCTTTTGTTACTGAAGCTTTCTTCCCTGTGCAAATACTTTTAGAACAATCTTAACCTTCTCCTTTTTACAGCAACAATAGCAAATGATAGTAAAATGCTGCAGATAATATAACCTCAGGCATAGAAACACAAAACAATAAGTTTTTACGTAAACAGATAACAGGAGGTTTTAACAGTTGAAATATTAAGGTTCAAAAATATATCTTAACTTCAGTTTTGAATTAGAAGGAAAATAAAGTTTGACAGAACTAGAGAATTGAAACATACTTCTGCCGTGGGAATTTAGTTCACTTTCAAGTATTAAAGAATGCAATGCCATTCAGATAGACCAATATTTCTACAAGGACTATGGAACATTTTGGTTTTTATCTGTTCTAAAGAAATCTATTTGTTGCCTCCAGGTTAGCAGGGTTATCTTCTCCTTTGTGATATTTCACATGCAGTGTTATGTAACTATAAAGTAATTCATTTTACTGTGTTTTTACCTGATCTGAATTTTTTTTTCCAGCTTAAGTATCTTTGTCTTGTTCTCCCTCACATCTCCCTTGGACATCCTACCACCTTTATTACTTTTCTGTTGACCTTCACAGACCTTCACAGACCTTCACAATCATCCTGTATTCCTCAAGTTGTAAGTCAACAAGTATTAAAAAGTGTCATACTACACACCTTCAACCTGTGTTACTACTTCAGTGTAGTTAAAATTATTGTAAGCATTCTAGTTAAGTCCCCTACATTTGATTTGGAATTAAGAAAAGTCGTTCAGCTGGAAAAGACAAATTTTAGAGATGTTCGTCGGGCAAACAGGTGCAGTGCTAGTGTACATCTTGCACTTATCCCTGTTATACTACCACATTCAAACAGATAGTCAGACATCCCAGCTTCACAGATGAAAAACATCAGGTTACATGAGTTACATCCCATTACTTTTCAGTTAATTCCCTAAGTCTCCTTTCTGGTCAAATTATGCCCTGATGTGCCAGTTTTCTCCAAGATCTAGAAAGCCCCTGAGGAAACAGATCAACCTCCTACTCCAGAGAAACCCCTGGGAATAGAGAGCTCCTGAAACCCAGCTCCGCCGCAGCACCCCCATTTATTATGTCAATAATTGCCTTTGGCCACCAGAGGAATTCTGTTGAGCAGCTGAAGTAGTTTATGTTGCTTAGAGCCCTGGTTCTCTATGTCTACTAAAGTCTGAAATATTTCCAATAGATTTCCACTGACCTTATGCAGCAAGGTCAACTACAGCATTTTGAAAGGAAGTAACTGAAAGCACAGTAATAATTTATTTTACCAGTTACTGTCCCAGAGCAAAGCAAAGAATACCTGTATGAGGATTTCAGTGCCTCCTGGTACCCTGGGTCTTGTGCTTCTGCAGTCCCATGAATTATCTTGAAAACAAAGTGAAAGGTTCTCATATGAGAAGAAGAGTAGCAACAGACTTGACAGAAAACAGCATTATTTTTCTAGGTCAACACTCATAGCACAATAATGTGTTGCACAGTTTAAGAATACAACAAACTCTGAGTGGTCACGTGAGGAGCTTCAATTGTCCAGTGTGCCCGCAATAATAAGCTCTGAAATCCACATTGCAGTTTATACTTACTATCCCAACATAAAGCAATGCTGTTCACTTTTTATAACCCAGAACAATCTACCTAATCAGTTATTGGGTAGTATCAGATGATGGCGTTTTAATGCTGATATCATTTTCCATCTTAGAAATTTGGATTATGTATCTGTGATTACCAGAGCTGAAGTTAGAAGAGTTAATATTTTCCTATTCTCTGGATTTGGCACTGTGTGACTTCACTGTAATATTCCTTTTTATTTTAAGATAAAACTGTACTTTGACAGAAAAGGAACTGAAAAAGAAAGAAGAGGAATGGAAAAAGAAAGAAAAGAAAGAAAATCGACCATCTCTCCAGCATCACAACACAATGCTAGGAAGTGAAGCTCTTCAGACAACTGCAGATCAGAAGTCTATCGGTCATCTGCTCACTTGGTTCTTCACGATTCTTTACAGCAGTAAAACCAAATCTCTGGAAGTACACAGAAATCTAAAAGCCCTGTTGTCGTGGTTTAAACCCAGTCAGGTAACTTGTTCACTCACTCCCAGTGAGTGGTGCCGAGCTGACAACAATCAAGGTCCGTGTTCGTCTCCCCCCCCTCCCTGCACCGGGGCTCTCCCCTTCCCCGCTCCCGGAGGAACGGGGAGGAGGATCGAGAGAGTGCAACTCCCACGGGTTGAGACAAGAACAGTCCAGCAACAAATCACCACCGCTACTATCAGCTAAAACAATGATAAGGGAAAATAACAAGGGAAGAGAATACGATACCACCGGCCAAGAAAACGAGTTCCACCCGGAAGCTCCTGTCCTTCCGGGTAACTCCCAGTTACCCCCCACCCCGGGCATGACGTGCTGTGGTATGGAATACCTCCCCGGCTAGCCCGGGTCAGGCGCCCCGTCTCTGCTTCCTCACAGCTTCCCCTCCTCCCTGGCAGAGCATGAGCCTCACAAAGTCCTTGGTCAGGGTAAACATCACTTAGCAACAACCGAAAACATCGGCTTCACCAACGCTGTTCTCAAAACTAGAAGTCAAAACACAGCACTGCACCAGCTAACACAAAGGAAAAAACATGACTGCTACTGCTGAACCCAGGACATTATCCACCCCTTATTCCATACCATTCACGTCGTGCTCAGATCCCACATTTTCAATACACCATCGCTCTCCCACATATATACATCCATATACATACAGACCAAGAGGAAAAAAAATCATTTTCTTAGTGCATGGACCAATCCCTATAATGCTGCCGAGTCCATTCGGTCCATGATGTTCCAAGTTCATTCTCTGTTGGGATGATGGCTGGAGGGAAGTCAGGGCCAGTCGCTGGTGACCTGGAGACATCTAGTTGATGGGCTATAAAAGCATTACACAGCAGGCAACAGCATACAATTGAGTTCACTGGCTGTTTTCCCCTAATATCAAATCCCCTTGAGGTATACATCGGACTTCCCCATCTTCCCGCATTACCCACCAAGTATATCCAGGTCCCTGAGCAAAAGCAATCCCACGAGTGGGTTTGCCTTTACCTGAAGCAGGAATAACCCAGACTGTCTTCCCCAGCAAATTCTTCATATGCACCACAGGAACTTTGTCCCCCTCTACAATATGTAAAAGTTCTGACTGGGCTGGGCCAGCCCTGTTGGCAGATCCTCTGGTGTTGACCAACCAGGTGGCCTTTGGTAAATGTGTATCCCAATGCTTGAAAGTTCCCCCACCCATCGCTCTCAGTGTAGTTTTTAACAGCCCATTGTACCGTTCGATTTTCCCAGAGGCTGGTGCATGGTAGGGGATGTGATATACCCACTCAATGCCATGCTCTTTGGCCCAAATATCTATAAGGTTATTCCGGAAATGAGTCCCATTGTCTGACTCAATTCTCTCTGGGGTGCCGTGTCGCCACAAAATCTGTTTCTCAAGGCCCAGGATGGTGTTCCGGGCAGTGGCATGGGGCACAGCGTATGTTTCCAGCCACCCGGTGGTTGCTTCCACCATGGTAAGCACATGGCGCTTGCCTTGGCGGGTTGGTGGCAGTGTGATATAGTCAATCTGCCAGGCCTCCCCATATTTATACTTCAACCATCGTCCTCCATACCAAAGAGGCTTTAACCGCTTGGCTTGTTTAATTGCAGCACATGTTTCACACTCATGAATAACCTGGGCAATAGTGTCCATTGTTAAGTCCACCCCTCGGTCACGGGCCCATCTATATGTTGCATCTCTGCCCTGATGGCCTGAAGTGTCATGGGCCCACCGGGCCAAAAATAATTCACCTTTATGTTGCCAATCTAAGTCCATCTGAGCCACTTCAATCTTAGCCGCTTTATCCACTTGTTGGTTGTTCTGGTGTTCCTCAGTGGCCCGACTCTTGGGTACATGGGCATCTACATGACGTACCTTCACCACCAGGTTCTGCACCCGGGCAGCAATATCTTTCCACAGTGCAGCAGCCCAGATGGGTTTACCTCTGCGTTGCCAGTTGCTCTGCTTCCATTGCTTCAACCACCCCCACAGGGCATTTGCCACCATCCATGAGTCAGTATAGAGATAAAGTACTGGCCACTTTTCTCGTTCAGCAATGTCCAGGGCCAGCTGGATGGCTTTCACCTCGGCAAATTGACTCGATTCACCCTCTCCTTCAGCAGTTTCTGCAACTTGTCGTCCAGGACTCCATACAGCTGCCTTCCATCTCCGATGCTTTCCCACAATACGGCAAGAGCCATCAGTAAACAAGGCATACTGCTTTTCACTTGCTGACAGTTTATTATATGGTGGGGCCTCTTCAGCACGCACCACCTCCTCCTCTGGTGACATTCCGAAATCTTTGCCCTCTGGCCAGTCCATGATGACTTCTAGAATGCCTGGACGACTGGGATTTCCTATTCGAGTTCGTTGTGTAATTAGTGCAGCCCATTTACTCCATGTAGCATCAGTTGCATGATGTGTAGAGGAGACCCTGCCTTTGAACATCCAGCCCAGCACGGGCAGCCGGGGTGCCAGGAGGAGCTGTGCTTCAGTGCCAATCACTTCCGAAGCAGCTCGAACCCCTTCATAGGCTGCCAGTATCTCTTTCTCAGTTGGGGTATAGCTGGCCTCAGATCCTTTGTATCCCCGACTCCAAAAGCCGAGGGGTCGACCTCGAGTCTCCCCTGGAGCTTTCTGCCAGAGGCTCCAGGTAGGACCGTTCTCCCCAGCTGCAGTGTACAGCACATTTTTTACATCTGGTCCGGTTCGGACTGGTCCAAGGGCTACTGCATGAACTATCTCGCGTTTAATTTGCTCAAAGGCTTGTTGCTGCTCAGGGCCCCATTTAAAATCATTCTTCTTCCGGGTCACATGATAGAGAGGGCTTACAATCGAACTGTAATTTGGGATGTGCATTCTCCAGAACCCCACTGCACCCAAGAAAGCTTGCGTTTCTTTCTTATTAGTTGGTGGAGACATTGCTGTTATCTTGTTGATCACATCTGTGGGGATCTGTCTACGTCCATCTTGCCATTTTATTCCCAAAAATTGAATCTCCTGTGCAGGTCCCTTGACCTTACTCCGTTTTATGGCAAAACCGGCTTTCAGCAGGATTTGGATTATTTTCCTCCCTTTCTCAAAGACTTCTTCCGCTGTATCGCCCCACACAATAATGTCATCAATGTATTGCAGGTGTTCTGGAGCTTGCCCCTGTTCCAGTGCAGTCTGGATCAGTCCATGGCAAATGGTAGGGCTGTGTTTCCACCCCTGGGGCAGTCGGTTCCAAGTGAACTGGACACCCCTCCAAGTAAAAGCAAACTGTGGCCTGCACTCTGCTGCCAAAGGAATTGAGAAAAATGCATTGGCAATATCAATCGTGGCATACCACTTGGCTGCTTTTGACTCTAGTTCATACTGAAGTTCTAGCATGTCCGGTACGGCAGCACTCAATGGTGGTGTGACTTCATTCAGGCCACGATAGTCTACTGTTAGTCTCCATTCTCCATTAGACTTTCGCACTGGCCATATGGGGCTATTGAAGGGTGAGCGGGTCCTGCTGATCACCCCCTGACTCTCCAGTCTACGGATCAGCTGATGGATGGGAATCAGGGAGTCTCGGTTGGTGCGATATTGCCGCCGGTGCACTGTTGTGGTCGCAATTGGCACTTGTTGTTCTTCAACTTTCAGCAACCCCACAGCAGAGGGATCTTCTGAGAGACCAGGCAAGGTGGACAGCTGCTCAATTTCCTCAGTCTCCAAAGCAGCAATACCAAAAGCCCACCGGTACCCTTTTGGGTCTTTGAAGTACCCTCTCTTGAGGTAGTCTATGCCGAGGATGCATGGAGCCTCTGGACCAGTCACAATAGGGTGCTTTTGCCACTCCCTCCCAGTCAGGCTGATTTCAGCCTCCAGCACAGTCAACTCTTGGGATCCTCCTGTTACTCCAGAAATATAGATGGGTTCCACCCCTTGACAGCTTGATGGCATCAGGGTACACTGTGCACCGGTATCTACTAGAGCCTTATACTTCTGTGGGACTGATGTGCCAGGCCATCTGATCCACACAGTCCAGTAAATCCGATTGTCCCCTACCTCCACCTGGCTGGAGGCAGGGCCCCTCTAATGGTCGTCACAGCATTGGACACTTAAGTCGTGTTGAAAGGGATTATTCTTCGTTATGACAGGAGCTGGAGTAAAATCAGCTCTTCCACTCCATCTGGGAAACTGCTCACCAGAGACTGAAGCCGTAGCTCTCATGGGACGATCAGTCTTGGCCCTTGCTCCCCTCTTCAGTTCACTCACCCGTTCCTCCAAAGCTGAAGTAGGTTTTCCATCCCACTTTGTCATGTCTTCT